CCTAAATCTCTAAAAGAAAATAAGGCTAAAACCTTTTCAATGCCACCAGCAAAAGGAATACTCGCAGACAAGGCAGTGTGGGAACAGAATATTTACAGTGACAGTATCTGAGACACAGACAGGTTAAAAAGAATAAACTGCATGACAAGCTTTAGAGTAGGGTATCACTCTGAGCATCTCATTAAAAAAGCTGACTGAGCAGGATATCTCTAAAAGAAAATAAGGCTAAAACCTTTTCAATGCCACCAGCAAAAGGAATACTCGCAGACAAGGCAGTGTGGGAACAGAATATTTACAGTGACAGTATCTGAGACACAGACAGGTTAAAAAGAATAAACTGCATGACAAGCTTTAGAGTAGGGTATCACTCTGAGCATCTCATTAAAAAAGCTGACTGAGCAGGATTTCTGTGCCAAAAATACTGTGCTGAGAGAAAACCTTCAAGTCAGCTGCACAAGGCCAGGAATCAGCCCAGCCACTAATCAAACTTATTCCAAACAACTTTTACTGTCTAAAGGGATGGTATGATACGATGTCCCTATATTTAAGGGTAGAATAAAGCACAGTATCAAAAGCCTCGTTTTAAAAGTTCTGCACATGTCAATATCACAAGCTCAAAAACATAGAAGCTGGCACTTAGTTTTCCAAGTACTTACTTGTGCTCTGCACAGACTCCGAGGCAAGTCTGACACATTTCACATGTGGGGCCTTGGAATTTGGGATCTGTACAATTACAGGTCCCACATTCGCAGGTTCCTCTTCCATTGCAAATCTGCCCATTCGATGCCATACATGGAAAAGTATCCAAAGAACAATCGCATGCGCTGCCGGTGAAGTTGGGGAAACACTCGCACACTCTGCATTTACAGACACCGTTCCCTGTGCATTGAAAAGATATTTCAGTGAAATGAAATCCAGTATAAAACATTTAAATTTTGACAGTAAGAAGTAAGTGTTCAATATCTCAGGATAGACTCAGGGAAAAGAAAACCCTGGTGGAGAGATAATGAAGACTCCAATGAATTAAGAGCTACAAAATAAATTTTAGCTCTTGGAAAAACTACTTACAGGCGTTTCCCCTTTTCCCTTTCTGCCACATTTGGATTTCCTTTCATAGACAAAGTAATGAGACTAGGGAAACCTGATCAGAACAGTATGTGATGACCATATCTCCTCGGTGGACAGCATTACAGCATTGCTTCAGTTCCATTTTGTAGGTATATACATACATTGATCACTCCTGTCTTTGTTACCTACTACTACGTAAACTTATAAAGCAAGACCTAAAGAGATGAGGAATGCACTAACTTAAGACTTCGCACCACAGAAAAAATTAAACATCTTTGGCTCCCTGGACCACCACCATCCCGCTGCTGTATTCCTGATCTGATCCACCCAACCAGACTTTATGCTCCCTACCGGAAACAAGATACCTCTATGTCCAGAGGGGTGATTTGGATGAAATGGAAAAATCTATGATCACAACCTTCCTCCATTGAGAATACAGTATTTTAGGTCAGTGCTTAACTGTGACCATGTATTTTGTAACACCAGCACCATTGCTCCTAACCTTTGTGGAGCTGGTGAGCAATAGGTATATTTGGAGCAAATCAGACAGATGAGGTGTTCTCATAATTCAGATAAATCTTAGTGGCTTCTCTGTTTCATTTTTGTATCACAGTCAAAACTGAGGTTGTAGTTACACTCCTACCAGGTACTTCCGCACATAAAGCGGCTTAGGGAAGTTACAGGACAAAAATACATGCAGCAAAATAGTTCAGACACTGGCTGCTGAAGGATTTTCTAAATCGCTTCCGATTTGAGGAATTAACTGCTATTAGTCTTGTTTCAAGCACTCAGGTATTATTCTGGATCTTGAACGTTCTAATCTTCACTTACCTTTCAGGATAGTCTCAAGACAGCATCTCATCTTGCCAAGCACCGAGTCAAGCACTCGCTACTACAAGTAAGCTGAGGTCATTATCTCTTTTTATTGACACAGTGGTTACACTGAGCCAGTATAACATTATAATCTCAGGCCAGTTGTCTCAGCATTCTTTACTATGATACCTGAGGTTAATTCTGTAATAAACAGCAGAAGTCAAGTTCACTTTACATCCTTCTTAGAGCTGTGATTCAAGGAAGGTGAAATGTGTATTAACACACTGTATGTTCATGATCAGACAGCTGTTCCATTAGTAGATGTTTTCAGTCACTAAATCTGTGGATATTCTCATCTCTGTTACCAAGTAGCTATGTTCTATAAGCTAAGTATCACCACTCTACAGGGTACAGTTGACAGACTTGTAAGCTGCTGGCCAGTTTTGCCTGCAGAAAACTCTGGAGTAGTTTCTTACCTCCACAAATCAAACCATTTGATCGATCACAGTTGAAGTTATCACATTCACAGTATTTGCCAGAATACACTTCATTGGTGTTTTCTCTTTTCTTGCATACACACTGTCCACAAATGCATTCTCCATTGTTACTGCATATTTCTGTGCTGTTCTCCCTCCTGCAGTAAGCATCCATATCCTCACTATTCACTTCATCTGTACTACATTCACAGAGTCTTCCAATACGTCCTTCATTACACCTGCAAGGTAAAAACACGACTGAAAATACGAACTTCATGAAGAGCCATACAATAAAAAAAAAAAAAAAAGACATAAAAGTAGCAGAAGTTGTACAAAGAACAGGAGTAAAAATGACTATTCTCTCAAGGGATATTTTGAGTTAAACTTCAAATGAGATAGCCAGCTGACACCTACGTAGCCATCCTTGAAGCTGCTGGAGCAAACTGGACTCAGTTGCTTCTATGCTAATTACTTGTTGCAGGTGAGAAAGGTGTCACCACCTCTAACTACACTGCCACATAACCACTATTAACCCCTCTCCCTGTGACAGAGTATATAATTATTTTTAAGTGACAGTGACTGTTCAGTGTAGCTGCTGTCATCTTTCAGTGTAAAGATTTCCCACAAACAGCCACTAGGCAGGCTAAGAGATGATCTTCAGAGCTGCTGAGCCAAGGTCTTCAGGGATCAGCACTTCTCATTATCAAGGTTAAAGCAGCGATGCACAAATGGAGGCTGTTCTTGCTCCCGGCAGTGACTGACGGACTGTTGTGGGGCGTCAATCAGACACAATGCTTCCACCAGGAAACTGCTGCTGTTGCAAAAGGAAGAGTCTCTTTCGCCACGGGTCTGTTCTCCCCTGCGTGAAACCACTGGACACCGGTGACAGCGATACCAAGTTTAGTAAGTACTTCTACACAAAGATGGGAAAAATCTACTTTCCTCATTTAAAAGGAACAAACACTGACTGCAAAATGGAGCAATGTATGCAGCATTTATGGCCCTAAGTGGCTTATTCTTCAACTTACACAATACTAAGCAGTTAGGGGGCCACAGCTCAGTTTTTCAAACACCCCGTTAACTACCACCACCAAATTCACCAGGCAGATGCTAGTCAGTTCTACAGCAAAAGTCCTCTAAGATCGGACTTCAATTCATTCTGCTCTTACCATTCTCATCTCAAGTGTTTCCAAGACAAAAAGGTTTTCATTTTTGCTGTAGGTTTCTTGGGGGGGGGGAAGGCTAAACCCCTGACTTACTAGGTTGAGCTTCAACCAGTCTCCACTGAAACTAAAGATTTTGCTCTGCTTTCATTGTGTGTCATCCCACAAAATCCAGTATCATTTTACTTAATTTTGAGATGTGTAATAAGGAATACATGTTTAATCAAATCCCTGTGGTGGGCAATAATAGACATTTCAAAGGCATACGTATACAGAAAAAGTTTATGTATGTCTGAAATATTTATAGAAACATGCAATTGGAAGAAACATTTTAGTAAGATCCCAAAAAATGAAATAAAGTAGGGAAAAGAGATTGGGGATGTCATCCAAAACAAAAGGTGGCTGTTTTATGACATTTTAATCTTCCCTGCTATGAAACAAATGGTGTCAATCTGGGTAGGAGCTCCTACCAAAGAATTAGGAAGCCTCTGAATTTCTCAAAATCAGGGGACCTCACATTAGAAGGACATAATTAGATCAGTATGAATACTTGCAAAAATATCACAGGCTAACCCCATTAATTTTGTTCCATAAATCCATAATTTTGCCATATTCCATGGACCTCAGAATGAAATAAAGACACAGAAAAAGCAGCAAGAACTGTATTGTGTGAAGGACTCAAGGCCAAATCTGAATTCTGACTTACACAACAGTGCCAATCTGTGATCAGTACTATGCCAACCTATGATTCAATACTACGAATTCCAGCGTATGGATTATTTCCAGAGGTAAGACAGCATACCAGTATTTCCTAAAATAAATGGGTCTGTAACAGTACTTCTTTTCCTTTCACTTAAAAGGAATTAGTAAACCCAAATAAATTCTAATAAGGAAACAAAGGTCTCACTCATAGTTCTCTTTCGTAAAAATGAGCGTCTATTTATTTACCTGCATGCGCCACATTCAAATGTTCCATTTCCCTCATGGCAGGCTGGACTGTTAGGTTCTCCTTCACTTTGACACTGACATTCACAGATGAACTGGAGATTAATTTCCACTTCTTCAGTGAACCCCAGCGGTTTAATTTTAATTGATTCATTTTGGCCTTTCTTTGGACATTCATTAGCTGTTACATTAATCTCAAATTTAACCTGCAAAGGAAAATAAATGGAGTGCGACATTACTAAAATGAGTTTTGTCTGTAAGAAAAGAAGCGTTGGACATTTTAAATGAACTTGGCTTGAGTAACAGCCAATATACTGAAAGTCACCTCATCTCCGATTGAAATGTTAGAACATTTCCTTCCATCTTCTTGCGTGTCATTCACTCCATTCTTGCAGAAAGACTTGTAACTGATTGTCACACCTTTTGGTAGCTTACTGTTTTCCAGGATAACCTCTGAAGAAAGGGACTAAAACAACAGTTATTAATTAACCACAAACTCAGTTGCATAAGGATTTTGCTGAAAAAAAAAAAAAAAAAACACATTATCCAACTATGAACAGTCTAAGCAACAATCCCATGAAATTATGTAAATTCCAACATGCCCAGAAACACTAGCCTCGGGCTGCTCATGGTGACCCCTTCTCACCAACGAACCTCGTTATACAGGGTCAGGGTTGGTCTCTACAGACATCGGCAGCACCTGTTTGTGCCATGTACTCCAAAGGAGAAATGAGGCTCATTTACACAGTACAGCCATGTAGAAAACATTTTGGGGCCAAATCCATGAGTCCCTGAGGTTGATGTAGACACTTTCTTTGGGGTCAAGAGGTTGTAAAATGGCCCTTCCACATGGAAAGACGGCAAGAACTGAAGATGCTGAAGAAACAGTGTGGTTTTTGGCTGTGGATTTTATTTTTTAAACGGGAAAACACGATGATAAAGTTTTCTTTGTAATTTTGTTTTAAGTGGCTTTAAGAGCGTATCGTTCTAGTCATCTAACCTCTGAATGTCGTAGTGTCTATAGGTCTAATGTGGTTTTACTGCAATGGCAGTACATTTATAGTTTATTTTACTAACTTCCTATTTTGTAGAAAAAAATAAATTCCACCTTGGATTATCTGCCTGAAAAACTCATAGTAACTTAGAAGCATGAAAATTAATACAACCAAAATAAAATCTAAACTTACATTGTAGGCATCAATGATCAGCTGAATCACATTGCTGGAGTTTGAAGACAATGTTCCCACTGCTGATTTTGGTATCAGATTTTTCAATTCCTTTCAATATGTACACAAAGGTAAAAGGAAAAATACAGCCTTAATAGCAAGCAAAGTATAATTTGTACTATAAATATCTGTGCAGTGATATAATGCTTTAGTGCATTATCCAGTCAAGATGAAGTACTTCAAAGAGCAAGATTAAAGTGTTGCCATTGATGATCTAGATTTTTGAGCTTATACACAACATTACTAGTATAAACAGACACCCAGCCTCTTCTCCTCTGCATCTGCATGTGAAATTTGATACGAGAATACACTAAGACATCCTCTTTTACAAGTTGACCACATACAATAGATGAAGATCTTAAAGTAGAAGCACCACACTTCTAGTGCATTAAAGGGAGGCAGATAAATTATGATTTCCAGTGAAAAAGAAAAAAAACTTACGATTTGAACAGAGGTTAAAAAAAAGAAAAATACCTTGTTAGGTTAAAACAAGGAAAAATATGCATCTCCTTTACACAGTCATTTCCTATTTCACAATCACATCCAGCAGTTTAGTTAATTTTAAACATCAGGAATATAAATAGACCACAAAGAACAAAATATGCTCTTTCATAAGTGTCTCTCTTGACTCAGTGTCCACACCCCCGTCAGTTATTTTGCTGCAAAAATGTTCATAAAAAGTAGTACTGAAAATACGTTCCCCTTTCCCTCCTACCTTCAAAGTATAAAGAGGGGCAAGCTGGAGGGACACTTTCTCCTTGGACATTACATATGCACTCAGCATCAATTGGAGCAAGTAAAAAAGGCTTAATAATAAAAATGTGAACAGCAAAATATTACTTTAATGATCACTTACTTCCATACTTTAATTTCCAATCAGGCAATTTTAATTATTTCAGAGCAAATCTGAGTCAGCCTTAGTGCTTGAGGGGAAAAAAGTACAAGGATCAGAAATACAAGTTATTTTCTTTACCTTATAAACTGCCTGAAACTCTTCAGTAACAGCAAAGATTGTCTGAATGTTGTTCTCACTAAGCTTCTGTACCAGATGAGCAATAGAAGGATAATCCTATAAAAACCAAACATAAAATGCAATTCAAATCTGGGACACATGTTAGAAAACAATCAGAAAAAACCTGACATTGTAAACAAATCACCTTTAGAAATGTATGTAAGGCTTCTGACTAGCCCACTTACATTAGTGCTCTAAAGGATGCGCTGAAACAATTCCACAGATGCTCCATGAAGACAAGTGTCTTTCAGAAGGAACTACTGTAAAATCATCTTGTTCCCTGGCGTTTAAAGTCTCCACATTAAATGCCTAATCCCAATGTTACCTCAAAATTACCCTCTGTAATTTTCCATATGACTTATCTCAGTGAAAATCACTACTTTTGGCACTGTTTCATAAAGAAAAGATCAAATAAAGCCAAATTAATTTTAGGTTTTTACTGAACAATACTAACTTAACTTTAGGAATACATGAACACAAAAACTTTGTAAAGCTTACTGTGGTTACCCCATCCAGTATATGTTTTTATTTTTACCATTTTTGTGCTCTACCTATCAATAAACAACGGTAATGTTGAGCGTATTTTTATCATAAACTCTGCATCATTAGATTTCAAGCAGTCTTAAAACAAAAGCTGGCCAAGGAGCTCTCAGTATTTTTTACAGTAGCAAAATACTTCTGAACACAAAGACTAGCAAAATGGTAAAATAACAGAATGGAGCCACCACGTGTCCAGGCAGTGGACATGGCGGATTATTAATTATTAAAAACGTTAAAATCCAGCAACACAAATCATGTTGTGAAAATTGCCATTTCTTGAAACTTTCCAGTTAACACTGGATTCGTTCTTGTACATTTGTTTTAGTTAAGCCAAAGTCTTGACACAATATGGAGGTAAACAGATAAAATTCAAGAGACATAGCTGCCTGAAACTATACCAGGTGACCTGATGATTTTTTTTTTGATCTTATTGATCACAAAATATTCCATAGAAGATGATGTAAAGACTTACATAATAGTGGCTCATTGTGTACATATCATTTTCCAGGTGACATTTCCCATCATTCGGTAAAACAATTCCACCAAGTTTACCATCTCCTGCAAAGTGAAATCCAGCATCCGTGGAAAACACTAACAGCCTCGTAACATTTCTCCAGCCAATTTGTTCCTTGAGAAACAAAGAAATGGATTTTTGGTATTTTGCACCGGTTTATTTTATAGTAACAGGGACCAACACTTGATAGAGAAATGCATGAAAGTAGACAGACTTAGAATAAACCATACTGCACAAGTGTCACCCTGGAAATCATCTAAAATTCACTCAAACCTCAAAAACACTTGCATTTAATTAAAAATCTTCTCTAAACATCTGCTGTAGGTTTTTCACCAAAGGCACGAAACATTCTTTGAGATGTACTTTGGTCCATTCAGTTCTCTTCAAAGTATCTGAAGAGCAATGGGGTTTTAGAAATTGGGCATGTCAGTTCAGCTCTTTTATACCCCCAAGACCACTTCTATGTCCCCACCAAGCAGCCTGAGCACAGAGGACAATGTTAGTGTGTGGAGCACTGCTGCAGTCTTTAATCAGAAGACTGGCTTCCTGGCGTTAGGCTCTGAAGCATCATCAGGTTTTGCCCATCCAGTGCAGATTCACACCCAGCACAGTAGTTGCCAGAGGACTGGCCTCTCTCACCATCCCACTAAGCATCCCGGCCCACAACTGCAGAGCCTAATTCTGTAACCTGCCCTTTCTTATTTTCTTTAAATTCTTCCAGAGTTGAAGTTCTAGTTAACTAGGAAAAGGCCATATAAAAAGGTCACATAAATACCAGTTACCACAAAAAAAAAATAACAAACAAAAACCCCAGAAGGCTTATGATTAACACTGTACTTTTAAAATAAGACTCCAGATTGTTTCAGAAAGTCCCGACTCTACCGGTCAACAGCACAGTAATATGGTAACAAAGCAGTAAACTTGGGTACTGCTTTTTTTGGAAGCCCATGTGGTACAGGTGGTGTACATCAAAGAACGCAGTGACCTAGATTATTCTTCAAAAATAAACAAACATCAGGTTTCCATCTACCCCTGAGAAGCTAATACAAGTTACAATTCACCAAACTCCTCTGAAACAGCTACAGGAAGCATATAAAGCTTTGAAATAATTTCAGAATAGTTGCTTCCTCAGGATTTCATACACTTTTCAGCAGAATTTGACTATTTTACAGCAAAGTTTTAAAACTCTGTCTTTCGAACGCAACTATCTGCTGTGAAAACGACCTCTAACCACCACTTTCACGTTTCTCAGGTTCATTCACTCACTAGAGCTCTTTGCAAAAGACAACTTCATGCAGCCTGCTCAGTCTGTCACGTTCGAACGTGTCATCTTACGCGAGCAAGACATCACCCACCACAAAACAAGACCATAAAACATGAAGGCTGTACTCAAACAATTTCATCTAACAGAGCAGTAAAGAAAACCAACACACACTTACCCCACAAACCGCAACCTGCATTATTGCATCAAATCCACCTTCCGGAGAATCTAAGTTCCCAGAAATGTGCTGTTTACCTACAAGTTCATTAAATTTGTTTCCTTCGCTGGTAAGGCTGAGCACATTTTTATAGCTAAATGGACTTGTACAGTTCTGGTCACCTGTACAAGGATTTTGGAGTTTGGCTGGTGTCGTACTTATATATGGCATCACAGTTTTCTCCACGAAAGAGCCAAAGCCTAAGACAGAACAATAAAACCTTTGTAAGCTGAAGAGTGGAAGTCTCTTCTCCTTATATTAAGACACAACAGAATGCAAATGCACTTTAGCTGAACCAAAATCAGAAATAACTCTCATACTTGTTTACTTTCCAGCTTCTCCATCAACACCAAGCACTCTCATGCTCCTCGATAAGTTCTTCTACCTACTAGAATATCTGCCATAATAACCATAGAATCATAGAATGGTTTGGGTTAGAAGGGTCCTTAAAGATCATCCAGTTCCAATCCCCCTGCCATGGACAGGGACACCTTCCACTAGACCAGGTTGCTCAAAGCCTCATCCAGCCTGGCCTTGAACACTTCCAGGGATGGGGCATCCACAGCTTCTCTGGGCAACCTGTTCCAGTGAATTTCATAATTCATTCTTTTTTTTTTTTTTAAATTACTCTTCATATGTAATAACACAAAAAACATCAGGAAGGTTTTTTTTTTTTAATAGGCAAATCTTTCTTACCAATTCGAAAGTCTGAAGTTATTTCTGACATTTCTAACATCAGAGCCGTTCCGAGACTTTTCACATTCTCCAAATCATCTTTCATAGAATATGAGAGGTCCATAAGATAATACAGGTCAATGGGGTAGTCTTCAGCTCTCTTAAATTTTAATGAAAATGTTTGGGGTTCCCCTGTTTCAGAGATTAAATAAAAAATAGAAACCATTAAAAATCCCAGGACTGCATTGGCAAGAAAAGTGCACTTCTAAGGAAAGTGTTTGAAATACTGATTTTGAACTAAATGTGGGTGAATTTTTCTCCTGTTAATTGAAATGTTTAACATTAAATTATGATTAAAAAAGACCACATTCAAGTATTTCTTTCAAACATCCAACTTCATATTTTCACAGAATTTTATCTCTCCATAAAAAAATACTAGCCTGCAGGAAAAAAAACCAAACACCAAACAAGTCAAGCTTCTCGTAGTTGCTGCAATTTCAAACCTTCGAACTTGCAATAGTTTTAACAAGGTTCCTGTAAGACCTAATAGCACAATTTTTCAATATCTGTTTGCATCCAAGATGATCCCAAAACTTCTCAGGGTTTAGTTTAAAAAAAGCCATTGTTTAAATAGGTTTATAGAAGAAAAATCAGTTCTGCATGGAATATTTCAAGTTACTTTGTATCAAATGCAGGCTGAGAACACAGAAATGGCAGTAAGACAATGGAAAGTTACTACTGGTTGCAATTCTAAGCCCAGACCCTGCGTTTTGCCAACAGAAGCATGTAGTCTCACTCTGATGTTGCAAGCCACTGCAGAAGAATCACCACCACCCTCCAGCCCTGGAAAATGGGAAAGTATTCTTTTGCCTATTATATATGAAATAAGGAATAGAATTAGATTTTCCCCCCACCCCACTCAGTCACTGAAGTTAAATGGTGATATTGCTAGTGCCTAAGTCTGCTTAATCATTATCGAACTGGGGAAACCCATTAGATGTTCAAAGTGAACAGCATAGGGATCACTCAGCTATGCAGCATGGTTTGCACACCAAAAAAACCCAACGCAAATAAAACCCCAACCCAACAACCAAACTCCAAAACTAGAGCTTTACATTTTCTTTAGCTGATATTTAAAAGAGCCTGCACAGAAAGCAAGTATCCCCCCCTGGAAGCACACAGTCTCTCATGAGATAGCTTATGACCAGAAGTGCTTACAAACAGAGCAGTAACCTTTTGGGTAGTTAGGTTCTGGTTGCCCAAGTCCCTTACACCTTCTGATAAAGAAGCTTCTGTGTCAAGAGAGGGATGACACTTTGGTTTGAAACTGAAAGGGTCGCACTATAAATAAATAGGGGTAATACCAAAATTGCAAAGTAACTTTCATTCCTTTTCTTTCCCCTCATCATCATGCTAAGCTTCTTCAGATCATCTTACATTTATTAAGGCAATCACCACCAAGCAGCCCACCCTGGCTCTTACTCCTGGTAAATACAAGGCAGCTGTTGAACGGGTCTGCAGTACCTAGGAACCGTCCTTAAGGACAATCTACATTACGTTCAAGTACTGTATGAGCTACTAGCCCTGCTGCCACCCTTCATTTTAATTAAATAAAGTTCTCTTCAGGGGCTGGAATTGGTACACAACTACTTTCTTTTCATCACTGTAGTCCTGTGTCCACATCATTAGCCTCTGGGAAGTATTTTATGTAGCAATCCAGAAATCCCGCTTCTTAACTACAAAACCATCCAGTTCAGACACAAAGGCTTTGAAAGACAGCGGAACTTCAAGGAAAACGAAATGCTCTCCTAACTTCTCTAAGTTTTTGCACACTCCTCTACTTTCATTCTAAGAAGCCACGCTGTTGAAAATCAACTACGACACACTGAAACCAAAATAATTTTACCTCTCTCCTCATATGTACCAATCCACCCTGCATCTACTTTCTCGTAAATTCTATCGGGAACAAGCGATAATTTCTAACCTTTCATAGAAATCAAACAGTATCTGAAGTATCTTGACACCTGGGGCTGATCAGAACGGCTCTGCTATCATTCAGGTTACCTGAACAAAAGTAGCTTCTGTAACAAAATGGTTACACATTCAAAACAAAACATGCAGATGTAGTGGTGACAGAAAAGTCATCTGAAAACTAGAATGAAACCGTCCTTACCGACTCTTAGTTTCAGTACTAATTTTTGTGGCTGGATCTGTGTAATGGCCTCCGGTTTCAGCTTCTCTGCAGCACCTATCTTACGATTTGTTACTTCTCTGTCTTCAAGAATCTGTTTGCTACCTCTGGGATTTTCTATATCTTCCATGGGACAGCCTTTACTCTTCAGTGCTGCCAAGTCATCACATCGGGCAGATGTTGGTTCTCCTTCTTGCAAGAAGTCCTAGAAAACACAGGCAAAACAGTATCAACTTTACGGCCAGCCACAATTTGTTACATTTTACCCACCATAACACTTTTTACAATGACTTTTTTTTAATTCAGTACAAAACCACACAGTCCTGAAATATGTGGAATTACACTAAATATATCAGTGACTACTATTTGGTCCAGGAGCTTGCCTGTACTTGCACTTATACACAGAGAAGATGTAAGCAAGATGAAAAAAAACCAGCAGCCCGATGTCACCTCCGACAGAAGCAGGACATCCTTTTGTACTGGCTACTTGAAGGGACAGCAGGTGGAAAACGTCCTCATCTTCACATAGCCATCAATAACGTGAACCTATCTGTACAGCCTACTTGGCACTACCCTCCCTTTTCCCTTCTTTTTGTTTTTGAAAGGCTTTAATTAAGGATTATGTAAGTGCACCTTGGCACTCACCAAGAAAATAATGGCAATATGCTGACAGAGCAGGGGAAAAACAGACAATAGCTCTTTTATTCTGGGGAAATTCAATCTGAAAGGAAGATCCATGAGCAAAAACAATCTCTAACTTTGTTCTGAACAGCAAACTACCATTACCTCAAACCTTAAAAAAGCTCTAGCCTCAAATATGAGTAAATAAGGCTTCTAATTGAGAAACTCGGAAATTCAGATCCCACTCCCCACCCCCATATGTATATAAATAAATATATCTTAAAGTCTGTCAGTTCTTCATGACCAGGACCTACCAACAAAATTGACAGCTCAAAGCCAAATTTTTGAGTCAGTTTAACGCTTAAAGTTCATAAACTGGTTTTGGGTACAGTTAAGTAGGTACTATACAGAAATATTCATATATTATCATCCTCTCGAAAGAAACAGGAAAACTTCCCAGTTTTCATTCACAAACTGGATGGAGAGCTATAGAAAATATGTTCTTCTGTTTCTAACCTGAGGAGACACTTCAGCACACACTGGTTAAGTCACACAGTTTCCGATTATCTTACATTTTGTATTTCCTGAATTTAATTTTTTTTTACATAAGAAAGCACCCTGTGTTTCATACTGAAACAAACAACCCACCCACAGAAACCAATTTCCTAAGCCCCAAGTCTACCAACAACAGAAAAATAAAATTTGAACACCTTCTATGGAAGAAAACCTTTGATCTCTTCCCCTACACCACCTATGTCTCTCTAAAATTACCTCTTACTCTAATGTCACTGGAAGAATATAATCAAGCACACCCAGACAGACTCCATGCTGGAATGATTTTAAGTAACTACAAAACAACCTGTAGGGTCTGTATACACATATAATTCAGAAAAGAAGCAAACATATTGTAAAAAGCAATTCTACTCAAATCAGGACATCAGGAAAATCACAGTATCAGAATTTTAAAGTACAAATAACTATCAAATTGAAGAGCTACAGGAAACTATCATTAAAGAAAATAAACATTTTATACATTTAAAGTATTTATTAAAATTTTAAACCAAAGGAAAAAATAAACCCTAAAAGGAATTTTGCAATACTTACTGTTTTTTTACACCATCCACAGTTTGGTCCTGCCTGTATACATTCACCACATGATTTTGCATTAGCTTTTATGCAGTCACTTCCACCTAGCAAAGAACCCAGATCAGTCACTTAATTTATAAAAAGGTGCTAGCAACAGAATTTTTACAAAGCCAGAATGAAACAGAGTTCAAACTACAAATAGGTTATTAACATAAGATGATTGACATATTGTCATTAGCACTCATCTGCTATATTTATCTACGTAAATAACTAATATATATATAGTTTTAAAGCAACATTAATAGTACTGCAATGAGATCAACTGACTTACCTTGTTGAGCAAATCCACCCCATATCAAGTAACAGAGGATGCCAGCCCATGTGAGCAATTTTAAATTAGTCTGAAATACATAATCAGAAGACCAAGTTTTATGATTTATCATAATAAGTGAGGGGGGGGGAAAAAAAGCTTGCATGAAACTGCAGACATGTAACTGTTTCAGAGAAGACAAGGAACATGGAGCAGATGCAAATCAAATTATCTTAGTTGTACCAGCTGGACAGTTTTGCTCTAATACAACCATGTTTGTGGGCTACAGTTTGTATTTAGAAGTCAAACAGGGTATCTGCTTCTTAAATTATTTTGAAATAATTGTGAGATAAACCAGCAAGCTATGAGAAATCTGGAAACGATGTTCAGTTGGGAGGGTGGGGGAAGAACCCAAACTAATCTATCAGCATCTTATAAATATGTTTTTATGCTCTGAATGTTATCAGAGGAACACTTCTAAATAAAGATACCACAGAAATACAAGACGGAAATAGAGCTTCTCTATTCACATCTCTCTTTCAAGATAAACTTCAAGACCCTTCCCAAAGTATTTTCCTCAGAATCTTCAAAGGGCATTTTACAGCCTAACTCTGCACCTTATGCTCCAAACTAGAAATTTTCTCTCATGGTATGTAACATAAAGCATCCTGGACATAAACACAGACCCTTTTTTTCTTCTTTATACAGCAGAGAATGAATGGGTTCTACCCTTGTGAAAAAAAACAAAGCTATCTTTATTTCAGTGTTACAAATCTTAATGAAAGCCCAGCAGAAAGAACACATACGTACAAACTATATAACCTCTATGTTTTACACGACAGGATTTGAATGCTTATAAACCACAATTTAGGGTTAGTAACTTGTCATTTTTCTCTAATTATTGGTGAGACTTAGCTTAGTACTCCAGAGTTAGGATTATGTGCTAAAAACAGACCATTCCCCACCCACTGCCCCCTAAATTTTCTTCGCCTGTAATAGCAGGTAGTCAGCCAGGGTCAGTCGTCACATCTTTGAAATTTTGGTACTATTTTAAATCTAATTTCTCTTTTATTCATTAAAAGAATTCTGAGAACTTGGACCCCGGCTGCCAATTTCCTTCATCATCCTAAAATGTTATTGTTAATTAAAGCCTTTCTAGTCATCCTGGAAACATCAATATTCTTAATACCTTTTTGTTCTAAAAATATCTTGCCATAGAGCCAAGGGAAAGTGAATTTGGCAGTCTTAAAATGAACCTGTCATTTTCTAGAAGATGTACTATTATTCATATAAATTAGCAGCAAAGTGAGCAATACTTAAATTAGCATAGCAGTTGAGCTTTGGTTTTCCCACACTGATTTAGGGTCCTTCATAATTGTTACTTTGCACATCCAGACCTAACGAAGAAGGCATAGCTGCTCTAAAATCGGGTGAACAAGGTTGCAAGCAGAAGTCAACCGTTTGCTAACAAATCTTATCCAACAAGAGTATTAGAAGGTTCCCATCTTTCTGATAAATCATTTCGGCTCACTATTCTCTTCCATGGATGCTGCCGCCAGAGAGTGGGGGGCAGTTTAGACACAGAAGAATTAAGATAATTTGCTGTGGCATAACTTTGCTAGAAGTCACGTATATGCACATTAAGAAATTACTGATTTAAAAAAGGAAAAATTGAACTCTGAATTACACCTTACTTAACTTTTGATCATTACTTATTGCACATGTCCAACTCCGACTCCTCTCTCTGCGCATCGCTGTAGAGGTGCGCAGTCCTTCATTCTCAAAAACTCTTGTGTGCTCTCTTTATCAAGTCACCTCCCCTATACAAGCAGTCCCCAGATCAAACCTGCGCAACCTTGATCAGAGGGGAACTGTGACCCAACAGCAGTTACATGGTGTAGGAGCACGCCTATGGGACTAGGGGTCTGGAAGGGAAACTCTACCAGATTGCTCAACTTTTAGGCTCCTTCTTTTCTGGTTTTATGGTAGGCAAGTTCTTTGTTTAACAAACCTTACTTCCCACAAATGAAGGACTATTTTGTTACTCCAGAAGAAGCTCTGCTTTAAGTACAGCCCAGAACAGGGTGGGCTTTTCAGTATGAAAAAACCTAAACTGCTGGCATCAGTGTAGTACTGTCTTTTCTGTTAGCCAAAAGGAAAGAATATAAACAGTTCACCTTTTTAGGGCAGACTAGCAGCGGATGCACAGCAAGCCCATGCAGACTATATAAATAAGTCAGCAAAGATGTGACACAGTGCTAAAACTATGACTAAGACCATTTGGAAGAGAAACGTTCCTGTGGAAATGCATCCGCATGATGAATGTAGTTCTGGGCACAGATTCCTCGTAAAGCTAACAAGGAAAATGTCCTCTTCCATATATGGCTAAGCCAATGCCTCTCCTAAAGCAAGCCGCCTGCCCTCCGACACACGCTAGCTCGCTTCCTTTACCTCCACTGCTTAATAGCTTTTCCATCTGCTGAGTTCTGGAAAAACTCGAGCAAAGATTTGCTAATTTGCATCCAATTTTGATTGTTCTTTAATGCGAGCAAAGCCAGGCGCAGCCTTCACGCTCCAAACTGGCTCCTGACCCTGGCAGCAGCCCGGTCACAAACACGGCAAACACATTCGCTGCCCGTCACTGGTCAGCACTGCAGACCGACCTGTTGCAGCTTTTTCTGTTAAGAGAATAAACCAAAACAAGTAACGCCTAACGACACCAGACAGCCGAAGGAAGCCTTTGGAAACACTTGGTGGAGCTGGAACCAGACCCCGTGTGTCAGTATTCAACCACAGATGACGGGAACAGAAAAGAACCCATTGTTACAAGAAACAAATGCCATTTTTTGCGCAACATTTACATATTTTCTATTATATTTGTTCTCCCCTTTTTAATTAAATCTTTGAAAAATATCCCAGAATCCTTGAAAAAAGCAGCTCAAAGCTTACAAAAGGTACGCTTGCCAAGAAATGAAATTTCTTTAACAACTCTATCACCAGTTGGCTCCTTTTTAAAAGGCTGAAAATGGTGAGCTGCTAAAAAAAAGATTTGAAAATTATTTCTGCACATTTGTGAACCCTACTCTATTTTTGTTAAATATTTTAGGAAGAAAAACATGGATATAACCTTGAATGTTTGGACTCATTGCTTTCCAAGTTTGGGTTTTTTTTTTGCTGTCTCTACAAACACTAATGCTTGAAGATAATTTTTTCTTTAGAAAACCAGCCTTGACGGAAATCTCCAGAGCTTCTACTTCGAAATGAGACACTCATGAAGTGACAACAGGAAAAAGGATTATTCCTCCATAGTGAGACTTCATTTTGAATCTGCGAATCAAACATTTAGCACCTTTATATTCTGCTAATCAAGATATTTAGAAATTAAGTTTACTACTCCACAGCACTAAAGACTTTTGCAGCTTTTAAGTTTTATTTACTAGAACAGCAATAGCATCAGTGCAGAAAATTAACTGGGCAAACAGGATTAGGAAAAAAGGATGAGTGTTATAGAAACCTTAATTGCCGTGAAATCAGGTATCGATGGCTATGCCGCTCTCCTCTCACCACTCTTCAGCTCAGCACTTCACCCCGCCTGACGCAGGGCACCGTTTATACCAGCATTAAGACAGTGCTAGCAACAAGCTGTTGGGCCAGCGCAGAGTGGCTCCCCTCAGCCCAGCAGCTCCTCGTGCTCCGGCATCCACCAAGCCAATGCCGAGCAAAGGAAAGCACTACAAGGCATCTGCCTCTGTTGCGTCCCGAGGTGTGCCTTGCTACAAAGCTTTCTACTGAAATACATAACCACGCTTCAGACCACGGGGGAAACATTTAAGCACACAGTAAGAGTTGATTCCTTGTGCAGAAGCCACCTTTTTGAGGCAATAACCAGACAGCCTACTTACTCACAATCCCCCACACCACTCTAATGACACTTATAAGCCTAGAAATGAATAAGCAACTCACACTTTTGGACTAGGGTTTGTGCTTCCTGCAGACTGACACCTCTTTGCATCAGCTGTGTTTTCAAGGGTTTAAAGCTTGATTCAGAAATGTTGTATGGAACTGATCCCTCCTAGAGATGAGATTGTAACAGCCACTTTCATCTAGCCTTCGGATGGAAAGTCACTTGAGAGCTGCTCCGTCCTCCTTGATGATTCACCCTTGTTAATCAACTTCCTGGTTCATTATTTTTACTGCTGTCCTTTCTGTCCCGTGCTAGCATTAGTGCGGCCACCAAGGAGCACTGGAGCGAGGACAAGATCTGCAAGAAACACTAATCCGACAAAGAGAGGGGCTGACTTCAGCTGTCCGGGTACAAAAATGCTTGCCCTGGAACGGTGGAGGTGGTGAGATGGGGATGGAGAAAAAGAGAACTGGGAAAAAATAAAATAAAATAAAGCAAAGGATGCCGCTTTTCAGCCACAATCTGGCTGTACGCTGGACTACAGTGGTCACACAGTCAGCCCCCGCCCCCAGTCATCAAGGCTCTGGTTATAAAAAGAGCAGGAAGAGACATGTTTCTAAAATAAGCAGAATTAAATAGTCTCTGGAGACACCCGTTGCAGGACTCAACGGCTACCCTGCTAAAAAAGCTCCTTCTTCCCTCACTCCAGAAAGTTTAGTGGCTTTAGCTGAGGACCGTGCTTTTCCACACAAATTTTACAGACTGGCAGGATGAATCCCATTCACGTTTCTGAGAAAGAAAATAAAAAGGTGCGATGGGGGTGTGTATGGAGGGAAGGGCACAGTGATTTTCTTAACTGGAGAAACCAAACAACACTGCTGACACGGGACAGCAATTACACAGACACTACAGACCTCTAGCACCAACCCACACCCCTGTAGGCACTCCTGACAGCTTGATCTCCCACAACAGATGTGGGATGTTGTTAGTCACAAACCCAAATTTGCCTGGACACACAACAACTCCAAGCATGTCTGCTTGTACAACAATTCACTATAAAAGAAAGCGGTAAAATGGTATTTTCGGCTCTGCCTTAAGTGAAGTATATTGCTCAGAAAGGCACGGATACAGAAATTACAACATTTCACACCAAGGAGTTACTTTTGATTAAAACCT